CCGCAGTGTTCCCACTAACCTCAAGAGCCAGAAAAAATGGTATTTATTTGGAGACAATGCTGCCTCAAATTTCACACAAACACCCACCCCCCCGTCTCAAGAGCAGGGAAGCGCAGATCTCGGGAAGCTGAGTGAATCACTGGCCATCGTATGCAAAACCAGGCATCAGATAAAACACCAGAATTCAGCTAATGCCATCTTTGTTAACAATCCTTAACAGATTCATAGTTATTGCCAACATAATTTTGCTTTTCATCTTAATTTGAAGTATCTCCTCAGAGAACAAAACTGTAATTTTTGGCTCTTGTAATAAGCAAATTCTCCAACCCCAGAAACAGGCGGCAGGTCCTGGGAAACCGTGGTTTATAAAAGAAATGCTGACGCTGCCCTAGCAAGCCCATCAGAGGAATGCTGCTGGAACGAACTAACTCTGAACGGCTGGTTCATCCACGCTGCGCGGCTGACGCTCCACCAGCACCAGGCACATCCACGCGCTGTCTGCACGGGGCGCCGGGACACGCCGGACGCAACGCAGGCTGGGATAAAGGCAGCGCAGCCAGAGGCTAAAGAAACGCTGCAGGTGATGCTCCGAGTTCCTCTCTCATTAGGATTCAAACAGAAACAGAGGGTTATGCTCACCAGACAAACACAGCATTTTAAGAACAGGCTGTGAAAGAACTGAAAAAAGGAGAGTTAAATCTGATGCATGCTACTAAAAGCTGACCGCAATTGGATTTGGAAAACGAAAGGAAGTCTCTACGCCAAACTCCATTTGTTAATTTGTTTACCGTGTACACAAAACTAAGTTTGCTCAGTCCTTGACCTTTAACGTTAAGTAGAGGCCTTTAAAAAGAATACAGTGTTTCTGTAAATTAATCAGCGATCGGGAAGTCCACACAGTTACACATTTAAGTAGCCAAAAATCCCCGCAATCCCACCAAGCCGTGCTTCAACAAAACCTGTCTGTAGAACACAGCCGGGAACACAGACCAGGCGGTGTCTGTGCAGCAATACAGGTAAGCAGTCCTTCATCTCCAGCTTGTATTTAAGAAATAAACGTGATTTCTTCTGTCTCTCCAAACCTCTCTCACGATTTTTTCCCCTCTCTTCAAAACTCTCCCAAGTTTTTTTCCCCTTCTCCTCCTCTCCCCCAAAATGCCTTGAATGGGCAAAACTACACAGACAAAACCCACACAGCCTACTCCTAACAGTTCGATTTTCACTCAATTTTTGCCGATGCATGTTTTTAAACCAACTCAGCACCGTTTGCACTTAATGTTCATCCCTAACTGACACAGCCAGCCCTCAAGAATGTCTCTTCTGGGGACGTTTCAAGCGAAACAAGCGCGTCCTTGCTGCCGGGACGGGAGAAAACCCGAGCGAACCGCGGCGGCTGCGGCTCCCCAACCGAGCAACCCGGGCGCGACGAAGCGCCC